CCAAAACAAAACTTTTTGACTTTTCGGCTTTTCGGCTTTTCGGGCAATTTTTGCGTTTCTCCGCCTAAATCCGTCCACAGCCCTTCGCAACCACAGCCAAAATGGTACCCCTAATTTTGGGAGACCGCCATTTGTGGCAGTAATTTTGGGCCTTGTTGGCCAGCAGGGTGGAGGAAGATTACAGCTGCTATCCCACAGTGCTGACGAAGCCGCATCGGGATGAGTGAGCGACAAATAGAACTTTTAGCAATTCAGGTTTGAGGTTTCGGGTTTAAGGTTTAGGGAGCGTTGGTCTAGCCAGCCAAAAAGACAAAAAACAAAAAACAAAAAACAAAAAAAAACGGTGTTGGGTGTCGGGTGGTTCTTATATCGGGTGGTTCTATGAGGCTCTATCCCCCTAAAGCTTGAATCGCCAAGTCTTGGCTGTAGTATACTAGTCCCCTAAACCCTAAGCCCTGAAACCTAGACTCCTAGACCCTAAACCCTGAGGGGAATCCGTGTAAAACACGGAAGCCTTAGCATGTCTGACTTAAGGCTTTAGTCTTAGGAGTTACGACTTGGGCTTAGGGTTTAGGAATTTACGGGATTTAACGCTCCATGGTGCGTACAGGCTAGAGACCCTCAACATCGAAAACTAAACCCTATGCATCCCTACACCCCCATCCAAAGGGACATGAAACCCGTTATATAGATCGCTACACATCCTGTGAACGGGGCCTGAACCCAAAGCCCTTAATCAGAAACCCTGAACCCTAAACCCTAGACCCTAAGCCACGGTAAATCATAGCAAACCCTCAACCCTAAACCCTAAACCCATACAAACCGTATTGCGTCAGGTGGCTGGGCTCAGAATCACCTGAGGTGCTACGAGTTTCGGACAAATCCTCATCCTTGGCAGAGCTTTCGGATTTAGGGTTCCGGGCTTAGGGTTTGGGGTTTCAGATTTGGGGTTTAGGGCTAGAGGCTTAGGGCTTGAGATATAGGGATACATGGGGTAATCTTAGAACAGTGGAGAATCGAATGAACTGAAAACTCAAAATGAAAGGGAAAGTGGATGTATTGATTCAGGGTCTAGGGTTTACTTGGCGGGCCAGGGGGACTTAGTCAGTAGGTTAATGGTCGGGATAACCAGGGCTCTTGCATGGCTTGTTGACGCTATAAATAAGCTTACTACGTCTTCGGTTTGGGTGTGTCAGGTTTAGATTCTAGGGTTGAGAGCTGAAGGCTTCAGGGTTTAGGGTTTAAAGTTAAGGTTGAGGGCTCAGGGTTCAGAGCTTAGGGTTGAGGACATAGGGGCTAGAGATAAGGGCTTAGGGTGGGGGATGCACTGTGTAGGGCTCAAGGTTTCAGGTTGAAAGTCTAGCGATTTGGGGTTAAGTGAGGGTTTAGGGCTTCTCTATTCCCCAACATGGTGGATTTGGCTTATGACACTAGGATCCAGCGACATCAACAACATGGACTATTTGGGACATGGTATTCATGACCTTAGTTCCACTGCTCGTTACCGTTTTGTGTTGCTTGCGCCTATTTTGACGGTTTCGTGTTTCTGCATTTTGCAGACACGGGAGTAAGATGTGGCCCTTACCTGAGGATGTCATGACTTCTTTCCTTTGCAGAACTGAAATCCTGTCTTCCTGCCACCCTCAAACATAAACCCCTCAACCCTAAAGCCTAAGGCTGTACCGAGTTGGAAGGCCCAGCCAGGGTAGAAATTGCTGACTGGTTTGACTCCAGGTTGCCTTCCTTCACGTTTCAAGTTGGGTCGCAAGATAGTCCTTGCTAACATCTGTCTCATATGCATGACTGAAAATAATCCAACGCAAAAGTTTCGTGGGTGGATTGTGAAAGTTTGGATGCCTACAGAATCTTTCTGAAAATGTCCCTCAGCAAAAAAAAGGCTCATGCCCGCGGGTCTGACATGCAAGCACCCGACACTGACGATCACGCTCATAACTTGCAATCTTGAACCTCGATCAACCCTAACCCTTAACCCTAGCCCCTGAATCCTAAACCCTAATCCCTAATCCCATAAACCCTGAATCCCAAATGCTCGGGTCCCAAACGGCCAAACTCCTGAGCCCACCGAGAATTAGGCTTGGTTTTGGAAGCAAACTAAATACCGAAACTGCCCATGCTTCAACTGCAGGCTTCTACCCCAAATCCTCAACCCTAGGCCAACCCAACCTTCAAACCTAGACCAACCTTAGCCCAGGCTTGGGATTTAGGGTTTAGGGGTAGTGCTTCCTACACCTATAGTCCCCCTCAATTAGATAGAATACGGGGTATATGGGGATCCTATTATAATATACCCAAAGCCATATTCTGTCTATTTAAGGGTGACTAGAACCCCTAATACCAAACTCCAGAGCTTTTTGGGCAGGGAGCCGTAGCTTCGAAGACCTCGCCTTCCGGAATGGATGGAATCCTGACAATCTAGGATTTAAGGTTTAGGGTTTAGGGTGCAAGCTTCCCGGCCTGGGGGGTAGGGTTCAAGGTTTAAGCCTTCAGATGGAGGCGTTAAGGTGTAGGGTTTAGGATCTAGGGTACATGGAAACTACATAAAGTTTGAATCCGGAGTCTTGGGTGGATTTTGACCGGTCTCTTCTTTTGCTGTTGCCTTTGGTACCCTGCAAAATGTATCTGTTCATCCTCGCCTTGAAGAAAGAGAGGAGTATGCGGTTAGGGTTTAGGGTTTAGGGCCGACTGATGAAGTAGCAGGGTGCATCAATCTCTTCAGCCCCGCTAGCGGGCGCGATTGCAGACACCGTGCTTCTGCATGTGGGGACTTCCCAAAATGAGGGTCCCATTTTGGTACCCGCCGGAATATAATTTAGAACCAAATGGGGCCCAAACTTTTGACATGTGCATTGGATGGAGGAGCTATCTAACCTTGCCGCAGAGTACACTATGGCTGTGGATGGAGGTTTCCCCATCCGCCAGGGGGTTTTCCCACCAGCTCCAAGGAAATGGTATAACATCGATAATCCTGGTCCGGTCTTTGGTTAACTGGGAATGAAGGAAAGGAAAAGACAATGGAAACTACCAGAATGTGTGAAAAAGAGACTAGGGTTTAGGATTTAGCAGGAATGGGAAGGACAATGGAAAATGATTTAATGGGTTCTATAGGGACTACTCTAAGGATCCATTCCGTCCCAAACCCTAGACCCGAAACCCTAAACCCATAACCCATAGTGGGTTTCTATAAGCATCCATGTCTTCATTCCTAGCTAACCGAAGACCAGTGGTGTGGGCTTCTGGGAGGTGCAGAGTTGAGGGTTTAGGGCTTAAGGATCCTTGCTATGGGCTGGGTTTGTACTAGTTTGGGCTATACGTATGTATAACAAACCCGTCCATGTCGTCATAAACCTCCGTGCCTCAGGCTAGAGGTTTCAGCGATTAGGGTTGGGCGCTTAATCGAAAAAGCCGCGTCAGATAACAATGCCCAAAGAAAAAGCATGGAGTTTAGGGATTAGGACTTAGGGTTTAAGGTTTGAAGCGCAGATGACAGTGAAAACACACAAGTTCTTAAAGGACCTTCAAGCTCAAACCCTCTCAGCATCCCAAACACTCCGGCAGTGAGGGTTTAGGGTTAAAGGGTTTAGGGTTAAAGGATTTAGGGTTTAGGGTTAAAGGGTCTGAACGACAGCCATCAGTAGAGGCCTAGGGCAAGAGCGCTGCCTATCACCGGACATTCTCCTCACTTCCACTCCAAGCTAACACTTCATAGCTCTGGGTGCGAAAAAATTAAACCCCGACAAGCTAACATGATGACCCCAAAAATGCCTGAAAAAGACTGGTACGCTGTTTGGAACGGACCTATAGACAATGTTTGGTGGAGGGAAATCCTGAGTCCCCCAACTCTAGACCCTCCAACCGAAACCCGAACCCCTAAACCCTCCAACCTAGACCCTAAATCCTAGAGTCCTGAAACCCCGAGGCTCCACCTTTCCTGGGACCCTGGGTCTAACCTTGTTTTAAGGTTTAGGGTTGGGGGTTTAGGGTTTAGAGCTTAGGATTTAAGATTCGGGGATAATCTATAAACAAAATTTGAAACTTACATGAGGCTTCCAGAAATTGGGTAGGGTCCCCAAACTGCGCACCCGAACCCCCAAATCTCAAAACCCAAACCCTAAACTTCGAACCCTAATCCAAAGCCCTAAAGTCTTAACCCTGAGCTTAGGGCTCAGGGTTCAGGATTTAAAGTTGAAGGCTTTTAGGGCTTTGGGTTTAGGGTTTAGGGCTTAGGGTTTAGGATTTAGGGTTTAGGATTTAGGGTTTAGGGTTTAGGGTTAGGGCTTAGGATTTAGGATTTAGGGCTTTGGGTTTAGGGTTGGCATCTTCATGGCGGGGCACGAATCCGTCTGTCGCGAAGTGGCGATGATTCCGACCTGGACTCTGGCATGACGCGTTGTAGGGCTTAGGGCTTAGGGCTTTGGTTTTAGGGTTGGGGGCTTAGGGTTTGGGTTTTAGGGTCTAGGTTTTAGGGCTTAGGGTTTAGGGTTGAGGGCTTAGGGTTTAGGGTTGACGGTTGAGGGCTTAGGGTTTAGGGTTGGGGGCTTAGGGTTTAGGGTTGTGGGCTTCGGGTTTCGGGTTTAGGGTTATGGGTTCAGGGGTTTACGGTGGATACTTAAAAGCCTTCAGGACCCTATGTACCTTCTACTTTGGGACCTAGGGTTTTGCAGCAAAAACTTACGGTCAGGGGACTTAGGAAGTCGACGTATAACCCAAACGTTTAAAAGAATAAAAACTCAACCCTAAGCCCTGATCCCCAAACCCTAAACCCGTTGCCCGGAATGGCTTATAAATGCCACAAGGATAGAATTTCGGAGAGTATAGGCGAGACGGGTCCTAGTGATCAGGCTTCTAAACCCTAAACCCTAAACCCCTAGACCCCTATACCCTAAACCCCGAAACCCTGAACCCTAAACCCTAAAAGCCTAAAACCCTAAAACCCTAAAACCTAAACCCCTAAACTGTGAACCCTAAACCTAAATCCTAAACCCTAAACCCTACACCCTAAACCTAAATCCTAAACCCTAAACCTTAAACCTAAATCCTAAACCCTAAACCCTACACTATGCAGGCTTGGCAACTGAGGCTAGGGTTGCAGGTGCAGGGTCACATTGAAACTCAACGGTCAGACTGTGGTAAGGTTAGGGCTCAGGGTTTAGGGTTTGAGGGCTTGAGGGCTTTAGGGCTTTTGGTTTTAGGGTTTAGGGTTTTAGGGTTTAGGGTTTAGGGTTCAGGGTTTAGGGTTTAGGGTTTAGGGTTTAGGGTTTAGGGTTTAAGTTTTAGGCATTATCATGAAAAAGAGCAGAGCGCTTCCGGAGTTCTTCAGGAATTCCTGCTTTGTAATGTGATGGTGGAGCTCATTATAATACTTTGGGATCTATAATGGGGGTCCCCTATTTGGGGGAAACTACCAAAGAGTATGTACAATTTTCTTTGCCATTATCCCTATATAACCCCTATACATAATCCCTGGTTGAAATTGGTGGGAGTGTACAATGGTGATTTAACAAAGTTAAGGTCCTCAGGCGCGGGACCTCACCTGTAGATGCCCAATCCCTACCCTGCGGCAAACAAACCTAGAAGCCCCAAAACGCCCTTACACTAAACCCTAAATCCTAAACCCATTACAAGGACTACTGTCCTCTTCTTGCGTATGGACAAGGAGCCAGGTGTTGGGGATGTCGGGTCAGAAGACTGGGTACGTTCCTGGGCTTCCGGCGCAGGGATGCAAGTTTGGCACTGGATTGACGCTATTGAGAGCTTAGCGTTTAGGATTTACAGTTTAGGATCAGGGCTTGGGATTCAGGACAAGTGCCTGGCGCATGTGGTCGAATACCGGGCTCAAGGAGGAGGACGGTCTTTTTCAGGTTTGCCCAAAGTACAGGTTGCAGAACTTCAATCCCATAGTCCCCCTTAAGTAGATAGAATATGGTTTTGGGTATATTATAACAAGATCCCCATATACCCCATATTCTATCTACTTAAGGGGGACTATACCCTAAATCCCAGACCCGAGGAAGACTTGCACCGTCTGCACACACACACACACACACACATCAATAGGCTCTTTGGGCCCTTGACGCAAATAAGTGACAGAAAAGCCTCGAAATCCACTATTCACAAGGGAAACCGATACACAATCCCCATTGAATCATTGTATGAATAAGGAACATGCATACACGAGGCTGCCTCCTAGTTATACCAAAGGCTTCAGGGTTTAGGGTTGACGTTTAGGGTTTAAGCTTTAGGCTTTACGGTTTTGGCCTCAGGGTTGGGATCTAGGGTTGGGGTTTAGGGTCTCGGGTTTAGGATTGACAGAGGGGCAAGGCCTGGAAAGCTAAAACGTCTCAGACTGGCAGGATGCAGATGCCGGAATGGTGGAGAGGCAAATGGAGAAAACAATGGAAGATAATTTCACGGGTTTAAGGTTTAGGGTTTGGGGTTTAAGGTTTGGGGTTTGGGGTTTAGAGTCTAGGAAACTAGGCTTATGAAGGGTGTGAATCAGTTATGGTGTGGTTGATGTAGGTATAACGCTACTACCCCGGCTGTAGGATACTATGCCCCGAAACCGTATTCCAACCATTTAGGCCCCGACATTAAGTAAGAACATGGTGATTGTGTATGAAAAGCTTGTACAATTGGTGGACCTAAAGTATTCCAATCCTAAAAACCCCACCCCTAAGCCCTAAACCCTGATCTCCGAACCACCCAAACAAAACTGCGCTCTCAAACCCTGAGCTTTAGCCCAAGTCCCTCGGGCAGCCCTATCCTAAACCGTAAACTCCTAAACCCATAAGCCCCTAAAACCTAAACCGAAACCTCAAACCCTAAACCCCGACAAATCCCAAGACCTCCGCCAGGAACCCTCAAGTGATGTAGGGACCGAAATAGCTCAACTACCAAGAATAGAGAATCAAATGGAACAGATCATGGAACATTACAAGGAAGTGACAGTGTTGGGGTTGAGGTAGGGCCTAAACCTTGCACCCAAGTAATGGAGAATCAGAGGGAAAAATAACGTAGAAAAATTGAATGAAAACTGGTGCTATCTGTGGTTTATAATTGTCTTCCCAAAGAATACCTAGATCATCTTGGGGTCTGCTTGAGGTACTCTATACCATATAATCACAAAACGAGGCTAAGACCATGATATTGGCAATTATTTTCGGCCCCTCTGAACTCTAAGCCTGAACCTTAAAAAAAACAGAGCCTCGCCTGGAACGCTCAACAAAGGCAAGCTTTTCGCCCTAAACCCTTAACCCTAAACCCTGAGCAGGCCCAGGTGCACATGGAAGAGTTTCGCATCAAAAGCCTTCCCGGAGAAGTCCTTCAAAGAGAGGCGGGGAAAGGTCACACTTGCAGGATGTATTAGTGCTTAGGATTTGGGGTTTAGGGTTTAGGATTTAGGGTTTAGGCTTTGGTTCGGGGTTCAGGGCGAAATGGCGATGAAGCAGAAATGGTCATGCCACAGAGTCGCTTCGAGTGCGTCGTGCTGTGCAGCATGCTGCAATGACCTGACCGTTGCTGGCCATCTAAGGCATCGACCTCTTCCCACCAGAGTGAAAGCCCGAAACTCAGGCAGAACCCCTGAACCCCAAACCCTAAATCCTAAACCCTAGGCCCACCTTGGACAACAACCAAACGACATCTTTACAGCTGGCACCATCTGAGCTATGGTCCAAACTCCTAGTATCGCTCTTAATAACCCCTATAACAAGCCCCTATGTAATCCCCTATATAATCCCCTGTAAGGAGTCCCTATATTATCCCCTATATAATTCCCTATATAACCCCCCCTTTAAGGTTTTAGACTACAGCTCATCTTGCTTCTAAAGTCCAAGACCTTGACAGGCCACATGAGGCCCGCCCTCAAACCGCCCCCTGCGGCTGTTGGTGGCTCTGGAGCCCGGCTCCACGCGGGTTAGGGCTTAGGGTTTATAGTTTAGGGTTTAAGTAGATAGAGTATGGTTTTGGGTATATTATAATAAGTTCCCCACATACCCCATATTCTATCTACTTAAGAGGGACTATAGGGTTTAGGGTTGAGGAATGCGATCCAGGCCCATGAGGAATGTCATGAGAAGCGGTAGCCCGGCCCCTGCTAGGAGCCTCCAGAGCTCTACAGGAACCTCCAGAGTTTCTCTGACAAGTTTAGGGTTTAGGGTTTAGGGTTTAGCGGAAACGTCCGGAACAGGAAGGCTACAAGTCGCAGGGGCAGCAAGTCCCAGTACTGGACCCTACCGTAGGGGCTACTGTTCCCATGTTTGAGGAAAGATTGATATTATAATATAGTAGTTTCCATTTTATTTTCCATTATCCCAATATAATCCATATTATAACATAGTAGTTGGAGTAGTTTCCATTTTATTTTCCATTATCCCAATATTATCCATATTATAATATAGTAGTTTCCATGTTATTTTCCATTATCCCATTTAGGTTTTTAGGGTTGGGGTATGAGTGTCTGGGTGGGCCTCTAGCCATGGAGGGCGAGGGGCATAAGCGCGCCTACCATCATAGCTGAGCTAAGGCGTGTCATACACCGACCCCAAAGTGAGTACAGGATGAGAAGCAAACGATGCCCGGGCATGTGCTGAGACCCTACGTAATCTTCAGCGAAACTCAACAGCATTAAGATCGAGCGCTGGCTTCTTAGAGAGCACTCATGGTATGGCAGTGCGCGTGCCATTTTGCTGGTTAGGGGATGGAGGGTTTTTGATGGTGTCATCTGAACGAGGGGGTTACACAGGTCTTTATGGACAAGCCTCGTACCCTAAATCCCAAATCCTTGCTTCTGAACTTCCAGAGAAGTCCCCCCAGAAAGACACGTACAAAGGATGTTCCGCGGAGAAGGCCTGTATATACTCACCAAAATCAACAGACAATAGCCGTAGGCGGCTCCCTGGGCCCTTACCTGGGCTGTTGTTAATGAATCCTACTCGAACTACAATATTATGGGGTGTATAGTAAAAAATAGGGTTCCTCATCCTAGTAACCCTGAACCCTATATACCCTTTTTTATAGTAACTTAATTTCAGTTTTCACTTTTAACAGCAACACAGTCATGGGCCTTCATCCGAAGGTGCAGTGCGCTTGGCGCATTGCTATCCTGACAGTGCACTTCCGGGTGTAGCGGTCAGGGCGGGTTAGGGTTTAAGGTGTAGGGAAGGTGCAGGCCCCTCAAACCCTAAAACCCACACCCCAAAACGGTCCCGGGGCTAGGGCTCGGGGACGCTGTTCAGGCGAGACGTCCTGCACACTCGACATGTCCTACATACTGCGCAGTACCGAATTAAGGAGCCCAACACCTACCACTTCTAGCGGGTAGGAACCATTGATAGCCAACCACAGATCCCGTTCCCAATCAAAATCGAGCCGGGTAAGAAATCCCCCTGAACGCGTTGCCTTAGTTTTTCGGGAGCTTGATGAACCCTACACCACACACCTCAAGCTGTGCCAGGAGTCCCCAGATGATGAGACAAATCCGGAAAAGCGATCTTGATCCGTCCTCAGCTGTGGGTGTGAGTAGGTTTCAGGGATTAATCCAGTATACAATCTTAACTCTACATTGGGGACAGCAGTATCCTGCTTAAAATCACTTCACATGTGAGTTTTCAGGGGAACTGCCATAGCTGGGCGTAGCCTGCTCCTTGAGCGGATAGACATGCTGGGACATAGGCAATGCACTAATACAAAAAACCGAGCATTTACGTAATCCCTTGCGCCTAATAGCAAAGCCCCCCTCCCCCTATATAAAATGTTCATGTTGCGTTTCTGATATATAGGGAATGTTTAATATCAGGGGCGTACGGGGGTTCAATCTCAGGGGGGATGTGACCCTAAGCCCTAAACACTAAATATGTATGTATATATACGTACGTACGTACGTACATACATATATACATACATACATACATACATACATACATACATACACATACATACATACATACGTACATACCTACCTACCTACCTACCTACATACATACATACATACATACATCCATACATACATACATACATACATACATACATACATACATACACACATACAAGAAATTTGATATAAGGGTGGTGGTTTCAATGTTGGGGGGAGGTGATTCCTTCGGGGTGACTATGGAAGCTCCGGACCGAAGTTGTGGTTGACATTCATGTAGGGTTTAGGGCTTGGGTTTTGGGTTAAAAGGGTTTAAGGTTTACAGAGTGTAGGGTTTAGGGTGTAGGATTTAAAGGGTTTAGGGTTTGGGGCTTAGCTTTCGGGTTTACAGTTTAACGGGTTAAGGGTTTCGGGCTACAGGTGCCTAAGGATCCCTCTCCCTTGTCGTTCTCCGTACTGTTGGTTTCCTGGGAGAACGCTTCCGGAGGCAAGGACCCCAACTACAAGAACAGAGTGCCAAGTCTGGCTCAGACTCCCCTAAGGGGATGTGGGGGTATATAGGGGATAGGGTTTAGGGTTTAGGGTTTAGGGTTTGGGGTTTGGGGTTTAGGGTTTAGGGTTTGGGGTTTAGGGTTTGGGGTTTAGGGTGCGTAGGGTTTAGGGTTCAACCCTAAGCCCTAGACCTAAATCAAAAGGGCCTAGGGCCCCTGTGGCTCTAGGAAACTCCAAACTTCCATTTGGACCTTGTGCATGCCCGTCCAGGTCAGTTTTTAGATGCCCTGAATATATTGAGGGCGGTATGAAAACAAGGCCTCAGAAGGGGATCCCTAAATTTGACAACCACCCAAACCACCTGGAAATTTGCAGCCCAGAAGCGGGCTCTAAGAAGCCTCCGATGGACACGGGCTTAGTCCACTTTGTTTAAACAAAGTCCTTAACCTACCCTCACTCCAAACATTAGGACCTCACTGTAATCACATGATGGCCATAGAGGGTCCTAATTCGGGCACGTGGGGGATATATCCGGGACTGTACTAAACTACCTAAACGGACTACCATCTCCAACCTCATCATCGTCCCTTGGTAGGGCTAGTACGGACTGTGGCTCAGATGGGGTCCCTTAAAGGGTTTAGGGTTTAAGCAGTACAAGGGGTTGTAGTAGGGTTTCCGGATCTAAAGAATGGATTTGGAAAATGAAGTTGAAACTGTGGTCTATAGAACTACCAACAGTAACTGTTCGTGCTTCGACATTAAACCCCCTTCTAAACCCTAAACCCTAAACTCTAAACCCTACACCTTTGACCCAGGCGAGGTTCGGGGCAATGCACTGCCGCAAGGATAGGGTTGGCGGCTTTTCGCCAGCCTGGACAGGAGCGCCACTGAGGCCCCCAAAGAAAGGGCTTAAGAACCCTCATAATACTCCCCTATATGATCCCCTATATAATCCTCTTTAAGGAGTTTAGAGCCCTAAACCCTAAACCCTATATAACTCCCCCTTATTTAGGGTTCCTTCGACCCAGTGTCGTAGGTCTTCACATGAGCTGTAGTCTAAACTACTAGGATTCCCCTAGTCCCCTATATAATTGTTAGGGTTTAGGGTTTATAGGGTTTAGGGTTCATAGGGTTTAGGGTTTATACATCATCCCCTAGATAACCCCACCTTACGGAGTTTAGACTCTAGCTCATATACCCCTATGTACCCTAAACTCTAAACCCGATCTTCCCTCTAGGCAGACCTTCCAAGCAAATAGGGACTTTTACTGTAAGATCCCAAAAGTGGTGGTCTTTTGGGTCTGAGGTAGGAGCAAGGGGTCAACAACTCCATTCCGCCAAGCAATAGAACTCGCTACAGGCCCCTGGCTACTGGATTCGGGTCCTCGCTTTAGGATATAGGGTTTAGGGTTTATTACAGTTACTTAGGATTTGGGGCGGGGGGATTGGAAATTTCGACATTTTGAGCTTAAGGAAAGTTCAGAACCCTAAGCGATGGTAAGTTTATATGGGCTTGTGGGTTCAGGGTTTAGATTTTAGGATTTAGGGTTTAGGATTTAGGGTTCAGGGTTTAGGGTTCAGGGTTTAAGGTTTAGGGTTTAGGGTCTTAGGATGGCAATCTTTACGGCGATCTTCTGGCTGCTTTGAAGAGGGTGGGTGGATGTTTTGAATTCAAGCTACCCTCAACCCTAAAACCCTAAACCCCATTTGAGCTATTGTCTAAACTCCTAGTATCCCCCTTAATAACCCCTATAGTAGTTCCCTGTATAATCCCCTATACACCCCCCTTTAAGGAGTTTAGACTGTAGCTCATTTGTACTATAGTCTAAACTCCTTAAAGGGGGATATATGGGGGATTATATAGTG